CCGTACATACTCTATTTAGTTTGGTAACAAATAAAACGCCACAGTATAGAAGTAATGGTGGTACGGATGCAGAGAATTTGGCACTTCAAAATGTGCAGGTACGATTATGCGAGTCACTCTAGTTATAGTGAAGAAATTTGAATTGTTGATAGAAAAATTAATAACAAGTAAAGTCACTAATAATTTATATAAATTGGATTTGAGCCTAACTTTACTATATCGAGAGGTTAACTAATACTTTATTATATGGGGAATTCAATATAACGAGAGTGACTTATAATAGAGTTTAATTCATCAATGTTAAATCAGAGGAGTTAATTATAGTTTAATTTCCTAAGGCTCGGTTAAGAATGGTTCTTTCATATTTATTTGCTCAACTTTTGCCCTGGGTGAGAAACAAGAATGGATCCTTACTTGTTCTTGGTAGTTCAAATGTTGATGAATGGTAATATAGATTTATCTTTATCATCTCGTTATAAGACACCCACTTACATTTATATCATTTTTAAAATATGATAAATATGTCGATACCCTGTTGTATTGACTCTATTAATTATCACAAAGATGCCATTATTAATGAAAGTAGTGTGTAGAGTTATATCTGTTTACATTACTAATAAACAAATTCTTCAAAAAAAAAGTCTTCGAGGCTATCTAACGAAATACGACTGTTCAAGCGCGGACATAAACCCAATTGGTGCTATAAGCAAAACCGATTTGCGTAAATTTATCAATTACGCAAAAAATACATTCGATATTTCCGTGCTTGATGAGTAAATATTTTTATTTAACATTATTATTATTATTATTATTATTATTATTATTATTTATGCATGCATATAAATCTTCTTTATAGGTTCCTTAAGGCAACTCCAACAGCAGAACTTGAGCCAATCACTCATGAATACGTTCAATCTGATGAGGTGTGTACAAACTAATGTGTAATTTATAATGTTGCATAGCCTAGCATAATTTTAAACAAAATAATGGTTAAATATTTAAGGTTGATATGGGTATGACATATGATGAGTTGTCAATTTTTGGTAAATTGCGCAAGATTGAGCGTTGTGGGCCATTTTCAATGTTTTCGAAACTTGTTCATGAATGGGGAACAGAATTAAGGCCGACAGAGGTATTTATATTCAAAATAATAGAGCCAATATAATATTGCTGACTAATCGAGCATTTATAAAAATAATTATAATAAATAGGTTGCTTCAAAAGTCAAACGATTCTTCTACTATTATTCTGTTAATCGACATAAAATGACTACACTTACACCGTCATATCACGCTGAAGCATATAGTCCTGATGATAATAGATTTGATTTAAGACCGTTTTTATATAACACAGCTTGGAGTTGGCAATTTAAAAAGATTGATACACTCTCCAAGGATATGGAAGAGGAATAACCAACTGTAAAGTTTATATTATATTAAATACGCGTTTTTTATATTTATTTTTTTCCGAAAAAAAAGAAACTTTTTAAAATATAAGTTTTGAATATT